TATATATATATATATATATATATATATATATATATATATATATATATGTTATTACATGTTAGGATATTTGTTTAAAATTAAATCTCTTTTATTAAAAGGCATAGAAACTTTTAGGACATTTTGATATTCGTTCTTTTTTCATCATTTATAATTAAGTAAGTTAATTATTTTCAGATTTCTGATAAAGAAGTTGAGAATGTCTCTACCGAGAATACACCAAAAAAGGAGCAGACAGTATCTCCACCATTTTTACCTTTGTATATCAAGAGATGTTGCATAACAAAACTTGAATCTACTATATTTGATTATTCATGGACAATTGAAGAGTATGAGAGTTATTCTACGATCAAAGATATGATTTCGTCGTTTCCAGAAATAGGTCAATGCGAGATTCTGATGAATGTTTTACGTGATAATAGTAGTTCATCGATTAAGGGAATAAAATTGAATATACTTACTAATAATTCATTTCATGGTTCATGTGAGACTACTATAAAGCGATCGTCTGGAGAATATATATTCTCAAAGTTTATTTCAGGTCATATATCAAATATGACATTGTTAATTGAGTTCTTGACACAGGACATTGATCTTGGAAATTCTCTTATAATAAATTGCAAGTTTGAAATTTTTTGTAAGCTGATAAATAACATTATACATATGGATTTACTGCCGTCGTCAACAAAACTTTCAAAAAATGTGACATATTTTAAAGACCCAAGCTTTGACATGTTCGAGTATAAAAATGAGGAATCAATCAAATTTATAATAGGAGGAAAACCACATGTTATATCAAAAAAATCGTTGTGCGCCACCAATAGTAGTTACTTTAAGAATATCTGCTTTACACAGGAAATAGAAAAAGATATGACAAATGAATTAGTAACGGATAAGGAAAAACGATCTTTTTATCAGATTTTATTATATATTGCAACTGGCTCAATAGAACAATGTGATTATGATATGCTTAAACAATTGTTAACAGCAGCTGATAAGTATGATGTACAAAGTTTAAAATCGACGTGTGAACATTATTTGCTACACGTTATTTCCATTTACAATGCTATGGACCTTATAGAGCTTGCGTTGTTGTCCAATGCAAAATTTTTGGAAACACATTCGGCAACTTTTATTAAAATTCACATAGAAGTGATTAAGAATACTAAACAATATCGAGATCTACCACAAGAGAATTTAATTAAGATAATGGAATTGATTGAGAAAAGTAAATTACCTGAAGTCAGTATTCATCTTTCTTTGTTACCGTTTAAGGCAGATAGGGAACTTACATTTGCAAATATTGGAGTGTAATATTGCATGTAATATTGCAGTCGTAAATTCATAGAATATGATAAAAATATTTTTCTTATTTAATTAGTATATTTTTTCTTTGCTATATATTCTAGCTTTTAACTTTTATACTGAGTGTTTCTGAAAGAGCGCCCATTAATTACATAGCGTTATTTTTTGTCAAAAATTGAGTCAAAGAAATCTGAACTATTTTTTTCTGTAGTGCATAATTCTAATGCATAATCTATACAGCAGTAATTATTGACTAAAGTCAATTCAATTTGCACCATTCTTTACCCGGACGTACGCTCAATGACGTACTGATTTAGAATTTTTCAACTCAATTTTTGATAAGAAATAGCACCATGTAATTATTGGGTATTCTTTAAGAAACATCTTGTACTTGTGAGAATTTATATTCAGATAAGTACTAATACAAATTAAAAATAATTCTTGATTTGAGTTTAGATGTACGAATAAAACTTTACACTTAATGTAGTTTAATTAAAAGTTTTTAGTTATGAGTTTTCTCAAGTCTACGAGTTGATTTAAAACAAAAGGAAATAAGAATTCTTACAAACCTATGTTATATGTAAATATTTCATTTATTTTTATCAGTACTGTATGTCTTATTAAAAATTTCGTTCTGTAGATTATTCTACGTACATTCACATTATAGCGTCGGAGTCTTTAGCAACTACCTTTTTCAACGAAATATTAATTTGTTTTAAATTTAAGTTTAATTTTTGTTTTTCAATGTTTATTTGCGTTTTCGATATTGTCATTAACGTACATACACATTATAACGTCGGAGTCTTTAGCAACTACCTTTTTCAACGAAATATTAATTTGTTTTAAATTTAAGCTTAATTTTTGTTTTTCAATGCTTATTTGCGTTTTCGATATTGTCATTAATTCGAGTTCAATAAAATGTGATTTATTTGAAACAATCAAATTCATAATTATTCCTTAATATATGTAGATGAAAAAATAAATAAACTTATATTTTATTATTTATTTTTTTACCAGTTTATTTATCTTTATTTCTAATTCAGAGACGTATGTGATGTTGAGCGAATTACATACACAGATGCTCGATTTAATAGAAATATACAATTCGATCACCTGGAGATGAAAGAAAATGCTTCACAAAAATTTATAAATCGGCTAATTTGAGTTAAATTTAATAAATTCAACAAATTTGAGTCAAATTTAATAAATCATCATCTCGAAATGTAAACATTTCGTTGTATGTAAATTTACATTTTGAAATAACAAGTTATTAAATTTATTCTTTAAAAAAATTAAAATAAGACATATAGCTTCATTGATTGATTTTGTATCTCTTGTTAATCTAGTCTCTGTGCTTTATTCGATATGAAACTATATCGTCGTTTTAGGAGAAAGTAATTTGAAAGTAAAGAATAAGAATTAAATAATTAAATAATATCATAATAATTATTACGATAAAAGTGTGCAAAGCTTTAAAAAAGTATTCTTATATTTTTAATTTAATCTCACGATCAGCGAAAATAGTCGTGAGATATAAAACTTTTTCGTTTAGATTGTTGTGCCTCAAGGATGGGATGTGCCGGCACAAGGTTTCTTTAGGATTTCGGATCGGAGAACAAATAATTCAATATGTATAAATGAGTGAAATATATTTCCCTTTTACAAATTTAATGCGGTTTCCTCTTTGCTGATCCCGGTACTCGCGTAACAGAAAATACTTTCGTGTAGGACGCACGTTTCTCGTATCGTTACTAGCTGACGACCGACTGCCCGCCACTCGTCGGAAAAGGCGGGTTCTTTATCCGCTCGGTGTTGCTGACTTCGTTGTCAGCGGTTTTGGCACCGTGGTCAAAGTCTAACGGGCGGGTGATGTCCGGGATGACCATATTTGGTCATTCCCGAGACTTAGGCAGGTCTTCGCGTCAGCGGTCCTCGTCGCTAGGGTCAAGTTACTGGTAGGAGGCAACTCGGAGTTGCCAAGTGCGATACTTAATCTATTATTCGTTGTGCGCTCACAACAAGATCTAGCATTTGATTATCAGCTCCTTTCGGCAACTGCAAATTTTATACAAAATATTTCACCGGAAGAAATATTGACTGTTTTTAACAATGATAAGTGGGTTGATCATTTTCAGATTTCTCGCATAAAAAAGATATTGTTCGAGATTACGGTAGCTTAAGAATAGCGATAGATTCATAGCATGGCATCGCGATCATTTTCTT